GGTCTCCCGAGTCCTGCAGCGCGGCACTAGCCCGCGACTCGGCCCAGACGGGACCGCAGCTGTTCCGGTGAAGCCGAGAGCGCTGGGGGATCGCCAGGACCTGTAATTTAAGGGCCAAGGAACTAATATTCCCATCTGCCTTTGGCAATCATCTTTAACCCCCGGAGCACGTCAGCATCCAGCCACTGCGGCGCTCAGTCTGCAGCACAGGGCTCGGGACTACCCCTTCGGCGAGACGGATGGAAACCGAACCCCTCTGAGAACCAGCCCCCCCCCCGACGTTCTGGCCCAGCTCACCACCGTGATCAAGGGTGGGTTAACTGCCCCCCCCCGTCTTTTCTACTGCGCTATTTCTGCCCTGACCTACTCCCTTAAGTCTCCACACGCATTCCTCGCAGAGGTCTGTAGCTTAGGTACGTGACAGCTCTGCCTGCATCTCACGCCCAGGCTAATTAACCGGGAATGTCTGTGTGTCTGTCTGTTGGATCGCCAGAATTCTTCATATGGGTTAAGCTAAAAAGTGAAGAAAAGAGCCCCTCTCCAATGGCTCAGTTTTGCTGAATAATCACGTGTGAATCGAGGGGCGGGCTTTTGGCAGGCAGATCTTACTAGTATTTACTACCAAACTCTACTCCAGATTAACCATCCCAGTTCTTCTGTCAGTCTCCGATGCCATCATGCAGCCTAGTTAGGAGCAAAGGAAGAGGGAGAAAGAAAAACAACTAATTCATCTTTTCCCGATCGTCAGGACCCTGAAGAATGGCCGAGCCGTGGGGAAACGAGTTGGCGTCCGCAGCTGCCAGGGGGGACCTAGAGCAACTTACTAGTTTGTTGCAAAATAATGTAAACGTCAATGCACAAAATGGATTTGGAAGAACTGCGCTGCAGGTTAGTATCCAGAGAGGTGCGAAAACAGATTAATATCGCTGCCTACCTCACCCGGGTTTCTAAAATGACAGCTTTTGAGATTTCAGGAATACAGATTTTCACTGTTTTTCACTTAGTTGGTTGCCATATTTTATATCTTTAAGTGGATCCAACTCCCCAAAATGACGTACTTTGAACAAACTCGTCGAATCCAGTAACATCCTCAATATCAAGAGGATTCTAGGTTTGGTCTTAATTTTTGGAATGTTTTTGTGACTGTGGGGATTTCTGAGTAGTCATAGCAGTGCCGTGGTTTGTTTTGTTTTTAGACAGTTCTGTAAATACACTATTATGATTATTATTTGAAGTAAATGCACTGTTATTAGTGGTTTCAAGTACTTCGCCCCTAATATTTGACTTCAACGTTAGTTTTCTTGACTACTAAAAAGTCCCCCCCCCAAATTCTTCACGTTTTGACAAACAACCTTTCCTCATTTGGAATGGGTGGCCTGGGCATGGGGACAGGATGTGCATTTCACAGTTAATACCATCTACCCATTCAGGAGTGAGAAATAAAAAGTTGAATTTTATAATCAGAGCTGAGCTGTAGTGTTTTTGTCCCTTTGGTCATGCGGTGGTATGCTCTAATTTTCAATAATTAGATTTACAAGCAGCAACTGACACATATCCAGCTTCCAAGTATGTACCTGATAAATTATTTTCTCCTCCAAACGTTATCATGTAACTTAGTTGAAAGACTTAGAAACAGAAAAATGGAAAAGTAGTCTAAAATAGTTGCATTATCAGAGTTCAGATGATATTCTCATGAGCTATTCTTATTCAGAAGCTGTTTAGGAAAGCTGGAGAGAAGGCTTTTTAAAAGGCTGGTTTAAGCGTCTTTGTTAAAAGAATTAGAAGTTTAAATGACCAGAGATATAAAGTTCATATAGTTTGTACATATTAAATCAGAATGCACTGGTCTTACAAAAATTTCAATATTAAGGAAGCTACACAAGATGCCACTTTATATTGTTTCATGTAGAATAAGTAGAGAAAGGATTTTTTTCTTTTTTCACCTAGAACTTTTGAACAGGTTTAGTGATTATATTAATGCTACAAATTTAATATATTGAAAAGTTTCCTATTGAAAAGCCAAAAAAGATTACATCAGTCTCAAAAAGCATGAGCCACTCTCACTTATATTGAGAATAAGGTCTTACAGTACTTTTGATGAACAGGAAAGTTGGACAGTTAATATTGTTTTTTTAAAAAGGGTTGACAAACATTTTAATACAACTCTGCACTCTTGTTTATATTAATCATACTTATCAAGATAATAGCACTCATTCTTGCTTAGTCTTAGTACATACAATGAAACAAACAGGAGTCTGAAGGCTTATTTTTCAGTATACAAAATCCCAACTCTGAAGTTGTGTCATAAGAACATTTTTCAAACCCATTTCTAATATTACTATTATTTTTTGAGAAAGATAGCAAATTTTCTTCTAAAATTATGTTTATTTAACACAGTTGCAAAAACTTTCGCTTTCTAGTGTAAGTTTTTCAAGCAGGATAATATCAAAGGCCTTACTCCTACATTTGCTTGCAAAGAGCCAAGGTATTAGTCTCTTGTTTTTCTCTTTCGAAGTCCTTAAATGTGACCAAGTCTTTACAATGGTGACAAAAATTATAACTTACTAATTTATAATAACTAGAAATGTATCTCATTGAAGTTCTTAAAAGATAAATTATGAGTCATTTTTACCACTGTCCTAAAAGAAGGGCTAAAAGTTCACAGGGTTTTAGCATTGAGGAAACTTAATATCTTGACCATCTATATACTTTGTATTTTTAAATATTATTCATTCTAAGTATATCTTATTAATTTGTGATTATTTGTGATCTTTTAAACAAACATTTTAAAGAGATAAGTCAGCTTTGTATGTATTTTCAATGGATTATAATTTAATATAATAAACATTGTCTCCTATGCAGCCTATTTATTATAAATTTAGTTATTGTGAATATACCTAAATATAAATACATCAGTTAAAATGCTGAACATTTCTCGCATGTTCATAAGAGTAATATTTTTCACAACAAAATTATATATCTATTTCATAACTTACATGCTGTTCTGCAAGATATTTTTAATTATGAGAGATTAACAGACGCCTTTATTAAAGTGAAATACATTTAAACAAGAGTAAATAAGTCTTTGTGATGTTAATTATTTTGCATGTTGATTAAAAATGTTAATACTACATTTTGGCTTTTACAATATTTGCAGTTTACAATAGCTATTCCTAAATGCTTATAGTAACTGCAAAAGGAAATGACAGAATCGCCATTTGATTATTAAATGGGCTCAAATCATAAAACAAAGCTGTCTGTGCCCCAAAACACATATTAAATATGTGTGTTTTTTTTTTTTGCTCATTTGAAAAGAGGTAAGTTAGAACTTTGAGAAACAGTAAGTAATATGACTATTTCATTCTTTACAAGATTTTTTGCTCTATAATAATTTCCTATCTAATACAAGACATATCATAAACAGTTTTAGATAAATTGGTGTAATAAGCAACGTAGAACACTCTGGTTTACTTAGTGCCTTCATAATCAGTAACATTCTGTAATTTGCAATGAAGGATTCTAAGCAGTGAATATATCTAGTAGTCAACATTAAAGAACTTACAAAGAAAAACACTTGGAAATTTAGGGCTATACCTATTTGGAGGGAACTTGTAAAAATAAATCATTTAAGAAAATGTTGAGTCTATATTTTTAATAGAACAGTTTTACACTAGGTGACACTTGTTTGAGATTTTAAAGAAATTCACCATCCTCATTTGTTTTCAGTAGCTATTTAGAAAACAAATTTTACTCACATTTGATTTTCCAGAATTACTACCTCAGGCACATTTTATGAGCATTAAGAAGGAAATAGACTCATTTAAATCACAAATTCAGTTTATCTTATATGTACTAATAAATTTATAAAAGAAACACAACTTTTCATGGGAAATAAAACAATTGAGTTGTCAATGACATACAAATTGCATAAATTCTATTTTATTAATCAATTTATCCAACTTCTGGGCCCATTTAAGATATTCTATTAAAGAAGCTCAAATTTTAGAAGTTTCCTTCTACTTTAATTGACCAGTTCTTTCCTGCAGCTGAGATATTCAAACTTTATAATAGGAATATTCCCAAACACAGCATCAAAACGTTACTTAAATAGGACAGAGAGATTTTTAAATATTCCTGTAGCGTGAGCACTTGAAGGAGTCTACTGTTTTTACTTCTTTTCTAGGTTATGAAACTTGGAAATCCTGAGATTGCCAGGAGACTACTACTTAGAGGTGCTAATCCCAATTTGAAAGACCGAACTGGTTTCGCTGTCATTCATGATGCAGCCAGAGCAGGTTTCCTGGACACTTTACAGACCTTGCTGGAGTTTCAAGCTGATGTTAACATCGAGGATAATGAAGGGAACCTGCCCTTGCACTTGGCTGCCAAAGAAGGTCACCTCCAGGTGGTGGAATTCCTTTTGAAGCACACAGCCAGCAATGTGGGGCATCAGAACCATAAGGGGGACACTGCCTTTGATTTGGCCAGGCTCTATGGGAGGAATGAGGTCCTTAGCCTGATGGAGGCAAACGGGGTTGGGGGAGCCACAAATCTGCATTGAGTTTGGGGAGGGCTTTCCCACATTGCCTCTGCTTTGTCAGTTAATTGGTTGGCTGCCTTGACTATTTTAATATCGGTCCTTAATATAGTTTTTTTCATATTTTAAGCAGCTAGTTACATCTTCTGAAACTGCATATGTGGAATTCTTACTACAGGATTTATTTAAGCAATATTTTTTCACCAGCAAAAATACTGATTTCTAACACATAATTGGGAATAGCTTTGCTTTCTTCTGAATATTTTATCCTCCCTTGACTTTTTCTTTGCTTACCCATTACTCCTGTGCTGATCTCAATATCCAACTTGGAAGCTTTGTTTTTAGAATGGTTTGCTCTGATGATTCTTTTGCCCAATTAAAACACTTTTTCAGAACAGGATAATGTTTTTCTGTGATTTTTCTCTCTTCTATAACCCATACACAACTTAGTACAGCTAAGAACTGTACTAAAAGTTCATGTTTTAGATCTTAGTAAAGGTAGACCGTTTGAAAACTAGATATATTCTGTTTATGGTTCAGTTATTCTTTTCTCTCTCTCCTTATACCGCCCCACAGATTTTACTTGCTGCCCAGTATTTCTGCTTTAAAACAAAATAAGAGTAACATTTTTTGGAGATCAAACCTGCAATAATTTCTGTATGAATTTCTCCCAATATTCAATCTTTCATTTTTCTCAAAGTCAGTTGAAGTTTCAGAAGTAGTGATCTGAAGACAAATATATGTGTGAGCTCTGAAGCCATTTAAAATTTTTTTCACCTTAAAAGTGCTTCCTATTAGTTGATTTTTAAGTTAAAAAAATGAAACAAGTCATATTTTCCAAAATTGTGCCATAAGTATACTAAGTACAATGCTGCCTTTTTCTCCCTGAATGTCAGAAATGTAAGATTACAAAATGTTTAAGTATTAAAATAAATTGCAAATTCAAAATTTTAGGTGATAAAAGAGCAAGAAATATTATAAATTACATATCGTCATAACTGTTTTAGGGTCTACAGAATAATGAATGTATAATCTTTTACAATCAATAAACAAGCCACTCTCCCATATGGTACTTGACTTCCATAAAACATTTTTGTAGAGGAATTTTATTTGTCTTTTGTTTTTGTTATTGTTGTTTTTGAGATATGGTCTCACTCAGGCTGTCCTTGAACACTGTGTAGCCTAGGCTGGCCTAACTCAAAACAATCCTCCTGCCTCAGCCTCCCGATGGTAGAGTTTTAAACCTTTTTTGGAAACCTGGTTAGCTAAAAAAATTTTTTAAATGTTGAAGGAAACAGAAAGATTTCAAATATCCAGGACGATTTTCCCATGTCTACTACTTATTCTGTCATAGTAAAGATTGTCACAAAAGAATATCAATGCAGTTAACCATTTTAAATTTAAAGACTTTCTTCATTATTTTCTACATGAACAAAGATGTTTTATGTCAAAGTCCCCTCCTTCTGCTTCATAGACTTTCTAAGCCCTCTCTTCAAAAAGAACAAAATACATCAAGGTTTATTGAAGGGCATGGTTCTAATTCCTCTAACAAGAACTGGAACAGTTGCAGGCAAATAGTTTTCAATAATTTATTTCCACGGTAATATACAAGAACATAGGAGGAAATTTTTAATCCTTTTCATTTTTTGAACTAAAATTCACATTCCCTAAGTTAAGTGCAACATGACTTTAATTTCTGCCACCTTTATCCACAAATAATAAATTTATTTTTGATAGCAACATGAAATTGACACTTTTTTAGAAAAAAAACTTTAAGATGATTTTGAAGGAAAAGGTGTATTTTAGATTTAAAGAGTCAATATATAAAATATATTGCTTTACTAAGCTGAATATTTTTTAAGCACACCATTACTGAAAGGAATAAAAACAACCCACCATTCTTGTGAGTTTCAATTTTAAAGTCGGACAAGTCCGACTTTAAAATCCAGTTTAATAGAATTAACAATATCCCATGTGTGAGCATATACGTTACCTCATAAAGTGCAATTTTCCTTTAGAGATTTCAAATGTAAAGGCATAGAACTAGCGTAAAGCAAGAGGAATACCTTTGTTCTGGGGTGGTCGGAGTATAATAGAGGGAGAGGAAGCTCTATCTCTTCATCAGCCTAAAATTTGTTAGGTAGTAAAACATCACCACATTACTCTGGCTCTTCACAGGAAGTAGCTTTGCTAATCTAAGTATTTTAGAAATGAGTTATGTGGTCCCCTCTAGGAAATATGAAAAGCCATTATTCAATCTCGTAAAACCTCGACAGTATTCAGTAAGAAGTGACATGTGCCCAAAATATATAGGACAGAAGGGCCGGTGGTGCAGAGTTCAACGGGTTCTAATTTGCAGGGAGCAGAGGTGGGGAGAGGTCTGAATCTGCGCAGATGCTTAGAATGAGGATGTAGGTGCTAATTAATAAAGTACCCAGAGCCCCAGGGGACAATGCTATAGAAAGGACCAGAGCTGCAAAGCAGAGATGCGCTAATTCAGTTCTTCACTGGGTCTGTGTCCGCTTCGGGAAACAGGCTCAGCCAGCCCAGTAAGCTAAACCCAGACTTACGCTTGGGACGAGATGTGGGCACTTACAGAACCTCAGTCCAAATTCTAGTCCCCGAAACACTAAGCAAAGGACCTTTTATCATATTTCTGTAGAGAACTAATAGTTTTTTGATGAACATTATGCACCTCGCAACGGTGTGATGAGCTCAGTACACACACACCACACTGGGTAACTGACAAATAAAACCTGCTCTGTCCTGGGAAAGCAATTCATTTGCCAATATGATAAATTTCCTTTATCGCCTTAACCAAACGAACATTGTAGAATCTGGGGCCCAAGACTAGTTTTTAAATCTCATTTCCCAAAAAAAGGTGCTTTTAGCTTTTATCGGGAAATAGAACTAGTCCAGGAGATCTGGAAGCTCGACAGTGCTGGAGTGAGAAAGGGTCGTACTTGTAGCCTTCCTGACTGCCCTAAGCAGCCTTTCTCAGAAGACCACGAGGGGAAAGTCCCTGTCTCGAGCTCCGGAGACTGTTTTGCTTTTAACACGGTGTTTCCATGAAAAGAGATCCACGCAGAGACCTGGTGAAGGACAGGCAACAAACTTCCTGCCTGAGATGGGGCAAAGCTGGGCCCACAGACAACCCAATACCCCACGGAGAGATGCAAAGATATCCCTTTGAAACTCTCTCCGAACTCCAACTTCGGCCCAAAGAGCCCCGGTGAGGTAGCTGGAGCCCGAGCCTCCCTCCGGGCGCGCAAAGCCCGGGGTGGGGGTGGAGGAGCTGCAAAACCGTTAGCTCGCGTTTTTCCCCCCTCCCTCGCTAAGGTTTCTTTTCTCTTCTCTTCCTGTCCAAATATTTCAAATTTCCGCGCCTTAAATAACAGTCTTCTTTTATTTAGTTAGTTTCCTCGGCAGGTTTGGCCACCGGCTCCTCTCTGCGCCCCTCCAGTCCCGGACGGCTCCGACGCCCGAGCGCAGCCTGCAGCCCCGCGCGGGGTCCCC